CGTGGTTCTTCATTTGGTTCAAACATTGTGGTAGTAGTAGTGGTAGTAGTGGTAGTGGTAGTGGTAGTGGTAGTAGTAGTAGTAGTAGTGGTAGTGGTAGTAGTAGTAGTAGTAGTCGTAGTAGTAGTAGTAGTAGTCGTCGTAGTATTAGTATTAGTATTAGTATTAGTATTAGTATTAGTAGTAGTAGTAGTAGTAGTGGTGGTAGTGGTAGTAGTAGTAGTAGTAGTTGTTGTAGTAGTAGTAGTAGTATTAGTGGTAGTAGTAGTGGTTGTAGTAGTAGTAGTAGTAGTAGTAGTAGTAGTAGTAGTGGTCGTAGAAGTAGAAGTAGAAGTAGAAGTAGAAGTCGAAGTAGAAGTAGTAGTAACGTAGTGGTAGTGGTAGTGGTGGTAGTGGTGGTGGTCGTGGTAGTGGAGTAGTAGTAGTAGTAGTCGTCGTAGTAGTAGTAGTCAAAGGAAGTTTAGTTTGCAAAACTTCCGTGTTACGGACATTCAACAGCTGTTCAACCACCACTCATCATACACCACTCATCAGATTTCGTGGCAGGTGCAGCAATTTGTGAACCTCCATGTGCAGATTTCGTGGCAGGTGCAATACAAAATGCGTCTTCGAGAGATAGCGGACGCACGAAATGCTGTATTTTTCAATAGAACCGGTGGCTTCGAACCTGGCAAGTCTAGCTCTGCGGAACGACTGTTGCGAGACGGTCTCGGGTCATGGTCGGTCGGCCGTCCATTGTGATTAGGTTTTCACTTGTCTCTTGAAGTGCAGATTTCGTGGCAGGCGCAGCACTTTGTGAACCTCCATGTGCAGATTTCGTGGCAGGCACAGCACTTTGTGAACCTCCATGTGCAGATGTCGTGGCAGGTGCAGCACTTTGTGAAAATCCAGGTGCAGATTTCGTGGCAGGCACAGCACTTTGTGAACCTCCAGGTGCAGATTTCATGTCAGGCACAGCACTCTGTGAACCTCCTTTCGTGGCAGGCGCAGTACTTTGTGAACCTCCAGGTGCAGATTTCATGTCAAGCACAGCACTTTGTGAACCTCCATGCGCAGATTTCATGTCAGGCACAGTACTTTGTGAACCTCCATGCGCAGATTTCGTGGCAGGCGCAGCACTTTGTGAACCTCCAGGTGCAGATTTCGTGGCAGGCACAGCACTTTGTGAACCTCCATGTGCAGATTTCGTGGCAGGCGCAGCACTTTGTGAGCCTCCATGTGCAGGTTTCGTAGCAGGCACAGCACTTTGTGAACCTCCATGCGCAGATTTCGTGGCAGGTGCAGCACTTTGTGAACCTCCATGCGCAGATTTCGTGGCAGGCGCAGCACTTTGTGAACCTCCATGCGCAGATTTCGTGCCAGGCACGGCACTTTGTGAACCTCCATGCGCAGATTTCGTGGCAGGCACAGCATCTGGGGAGCTGGAAGCTGAGAACTGGCGGCTCTTGTAGTACAACTTCAGTACGCGGAGCAATTTGTGAGCTGGAAGCTGAGAACTGGTGACATTGTAGTACAACTTTAGTACGCGGAGTATCTGGCAAGCTGGACGATGAGAACTGGCGACTTTGTAGTACAACTTCAGTGCGCGGAGCAATCTGTGCAGCTAGAAGCTGAAAACTGGCGACTTCGTAGTACAACTTTAGTACACAGAGTATCTGGCGAGCTGGACGAGGAGAACTGGCGACTTTGTAGTACAACTTTACTACGCGGAGTATCTGTGGAGCTGGATGGTGAAAACTGGCGACTTTCTAGTACAACTTTAGTACGCGGAGCAATCTGTAG